CGGTACCATGTGCGTCCGAACCGTCCGAGTTTGTCGTACACATACTACGCGCCGCATTGACTCATGCATTTGGCAATGCGAGGGAGGCAAACTCCCCGGCAGCGAAAATGCCGTTGGGTTGGGCTTGCAGCGACGCGATCGTGCGGCCCGATGGAATCGGTCGGACGTGCCACGTGAGGTTAATGCGCTGGCACTCGGCGTAGACGTAGTGCTCCGTGTCAAAGGCATTCGGCGGCAAGAGTGCGTAGAAGGCCGGGTCCGTTGGTGTGCCCCAGAGACTCCCGAGATTGCCCATGACCAAAAATTGCAAATGGCTCAACGCTCCAAACGCTAAACGCTGCATGATTGGCTGAAACGAAATTGTATCCACCAATCAGTAATGGGTCTAGGATGAGCCTGTCCAGAATCTGGGGTATACCAACGGACCCGGCCTTCTAAAGTTCGGGGACTACCCATACCGACGCCGCGATCCACCGAGCCGCTCCCATTTGGAGTCGGACGACGCGCTCGATGTATGGCGCCGCTAGCCGCAAATGGGTCGCCGGGAGGCTCGTCTGCGAGAAGTGCGGCCTTCCCAGAAAGCACAAGCTCGGGTGCAAGTACCGGTCGAGCGAGCAGAGCCTACGGACCCGCAGCCACATGAAGAGCCGCCAGCCAAGCGCGCGAAGCACAAACGCTGCAAAGTGTGTGGCGCGTCGAAGTATCACCCGTCAGGCAGGATGAAAAGCGAGCATGCCCCTTCTACGCGTACACTCTGTTAAAGCGGGCGACAAGTAATACGAACAGCCAATGCCTGGTCTCTAAATATCGAGCAGTTAATAGAAGGGGCATGCTCGCTTTTCATCCTGCCTGACGGGTGATACTTCGACGCGCCACACACTTTGCAGCGTTTGTGCTTCGCGCGCTTGGCTGGCGGCTCTTCATGTGGCTGCGGGTCCGTAGGCTCTGCTCGCTCGACCGGTACTTGCACCCGAGCTTGTGCTTTCTGGGAAGGCCGCACTTCTCGCAGACGAGCCTCCCGGCGACCCATTTGCGGCTAGCGGCGCCATACATCGAGCGCGTCGTCCGACTCCAAATGGGAGCGGCTCGGTGGATCGCGGCGTCGGTATGGGTAGTCCCCGAACTTTAGAAGGCCGGGTCCGTTGGTATACCCCAGATTCTGGACAGGCTCATCCTAGACCCATTACTGATTGGTGGATACAATTTCGTTTCAGCCAATCATGCAGCGTTTAGCGTTTGGATCGTTGAGCCATTTGCAATTTTTGGTCATGGGCAATCTCGGGAGTCTCTGGGGCACACCAACGGACCCGGCCTTCTACGCACTCTTGCCGCCGAATGTCTTTGACACGGAGCACTACGTCTACGCCGAGTGCCAGCGCATTAACCTCACGTGGCACGTCCGACCGATTCCATCGGGCCGCACGATCGCGTCGCTGCAAGCCCAACCCAACGGCATTTTCGCTGCCGGGGAGTTTGCCTCCCTCGCATTGCCAAATGCATGAGTCAATGCGGCGCGTAGTATGTGTACGACAAACTCGGACGGTTCGGACGCACATGGTACCG